GTTTAATAAATAAAAAAATTCACACTCAGCATACCGCGTACGTTGAGCAATGAGCAGCAAAACAATAACAATTAACAGTAATTCGGTACGAACTACGCTGAACAGTGTCAAAAAAGTCAGTGATGCGTAGTTAATAAACAATAATTTCTTATAAAGCCTTATTTTCCCTATCCGTGGTGACACTGATTTGAGGTAGGTTTTGATTTTTSACATTTTTGAGAATTACATTGGCCGAATAGGGAGTGCACCATCTGGTTTTATATAATCTGTGTTATTACACTATTAAGGATGATTCACACTAGTCAGACACGTACCGACAGACACCGTAGTACCATACCGATGGAATATACGTAACGACCRTCATTGTTAACATACTCACATTTTCGCTMCAATATCATTAAGTGCCTACACAAGTTTCCCTGTTTTTCCATTTTCTGTATATTTTAAGTTTGAAATATGTTTAAACATTTTACTACAAGCGATTTGGCAATGATTGCTATTGCCCTAGACGAAGAAGAAGAAAGGAATGTACAACAAAGAATATGGGTTCATGATATTTTGTTAAAACGGCACATTGAAGGTGAATTCGTAACTTTGTATGACCAATTAACTGACCACGAAGAAATTTTTTTTAAATATTTTCGTATGACAAAAATTCAATTTAATGTACTTTTATCGAAAATTAAAAACATAATTAGAAAAAAAAATACGTGTTTTCGGAAAGCCATATCACCAAGAGAAAAACTTGCAGATTGTTTAAGGTAAGAAAGTATGAATTTCGTAACAAATTATTACACTTACTTAATGATACAATTAATTCTAAATTTTTAAATTTAAAAACCTACTTTTCCAAAATAAATCACATTAATAATTTACATTATTCTTTGCACTAAAATTAACTTAATTTAGATACTTTTAAATAAAATTAACTTTAATTAGTAAATACGTTAATCTTAAAAAAAGGTAACTAATTAAGTTAAAAGTTAATTTGTAAAAAAKTAATTAACTTAATTTTAACTTATTAACTCGTTAATGCCCAGCATTGGTTTTAGTACCAGAATTTGAAAGTTTAGGCATTTGCATTATTTTTTTGGTCATAAAAKTACATTTTGTCAAATTTATTTATTTAAGTTTTTAAAATAAATTTTTTTTCATAGATTTTTGGCAACTGGAGATTCTTTTCAAACCATCTCTGCTATTATATCTAACTTAAAAGAAGAATGTATGCCAATGCCGAAAGAAGATGATTGGAAAACCATATCTAATGAGTTTTGGGAAATATGGAACTTTCCCAATTGCATTGGTGCATTGGATGGTAAACATGTTGTCATTGAAGCTCCACCAAATAGTGGTTCACTTTATTTTAATTACAATAAAACATTTTCGATCGTTTTAATGGCTTTGGTTGATGCGAAATATAAATTTATTGCGGTGAATATTGGGGCTTATGGGAAAAGTAGTGATGGTGGAATTTTTTCCAGTTCAAAAATGGGTAAAGCGTTTGAAAAAAATAAATTTAATGTACCTGATGGCCGAGTTCTGCCAGGAACAAATGAAGTTTTACCATACGCAATAATAGGAGATGAGGCTTTTCCTTTAAAAAGTTATATTTTAAGACCATACCCAGGCATACAAATTCACCGTGATGAAACTAAAAAAATATTCAACGAGCGACTATCACGTGCGAGAAAAGTTGTATAGGATGCATTTGGTCAGCTGTCACAAAAATTTCGTGTATATCAAAGACGCTTAAAATCATTACCGGAAAATGCGGATAAGATAATTTTCACTACCTGTATTTTACATAACTTTATAAAAAGTGATAATGATAATCAATTTGCATCATCAATGTCCGAACAACTACCTAGACATATTACAAATATTTCAAATCAAGGAGGAAGCGCACCACAAGTAGCATTCGAAGTGAGAGAAAAATTCAAACAATTTTTTAATTCACCTGCTGGTCAAATCCATTGGAGCTAATCAATTAAATGAATGTATGTTATTTTTAAATACTTTTTAATAACTTAAAATTATTAATTATTTATAATGTGTTTATACAAATTAATTAAATTAGTAAAATCATTTATCATTTATTATAGATGTACGATGTTTTTTTTATAATTCTTGAAAATATAATCACCAATTATATGCATAGACACATAGTATAATATAATATATCAAATATTGTTATTAACTTTTTTAATAATGTGTTAAGAACTTGTATTAAATTGCCAAGCTTTTCGACCCAACGAATAAAATTTAATTGATATTTAAAAAAAAAAACCAGCTCAAAACGTTTCATCAAAATACTTTGAAAATKTTGTTAGGTATATCTGGTGTAACTCTAAAAAAAAAATACCGTAGATACATGTAATTTTCACTAAATGTTTATATAAGCATTTAATATACACCATAAAATGTTTAAAATATTTCGAGAAGTTTTCAGCTGTTAACGGGCATTTTAAGTTTCTAATTTTTTAATGATTTACATATCAATAAAATTTTATTCGTTAGGTCAAAAAGCTTTAAAATACAAATCTCCTAATATATTGCTACAATGGCAATTGAAAAATATTAAAATAAAATTTATATCATAGTCATAATTTTATTTTATATGCATTTCAAGTTTGAATTTTGACAAAATACGTACAAATCACGAAAATGTGCGAAATGYATTATATATTTTAGCTAATATTACCAGGTATGCCTAAAGAAGTTGAAATGTTTTTCCAGCAGGATTCTTTGTACACATGATCACTATATTTTTTGTGTGACAATGCATAGAGGCATTCTTGGTCTCTGACGCGTTTAATTAATAACTTTAGGTTCATCACGTATGAAAAATATAAACAAGCGAGAACACTGAGAACAGTAAAAAGTTATAAGTACAATAAGTATGTACTTCAAAGTTCAAAAGTTAGTGAATGTGAATAATCTTCCAGTGAATGACAGCCAACGGATAAAATATGTCTGTTGTTCATTCACACTTATCATACAGCCCGTTCAGACCAGATCAGACACGACCCGTCCCGACAATACATTCTCGCGCGGAATGTCGGATGGACCCTGTCGGTTCGATACGTGTATGAAAGGAACGGAATCGTTAAAATGTGAATTGTTTATATTTAAACAAATATTAAAATATTTTTCGGAACGGTACCGTACGGTGTCTGTCGGTACGTGTCTGACTAGTGTGAATCATACTTTACAGTCGAGATTCGGGACAGTCTTAAGGCCTTGTCAAACAGAACGCGTTATAACGCGCGTTAAAGCGTTATCAACGTCGCGTTATAGACCGTCGCGTTGTATTCAATTACAAATCATATCGACCGTCAAACATGGCTCGTCAGCGTGATTAACGCGGCGGTAGAACGCGACGTTGTACAAAATTACAAAATCACGTGCGATACAGCGTTATTTTCGGCGAGGAGTACATACCGCAGACACAACACAACATCCCAATCAAGGCCCCTGATAGTTCTATTATAAAATAAATATAAAATATTATATACTATATAATAAAACACAACCACTATTTCAATTCATTGTTGCAATAGCTGTCGTTCCGTCGTTGTCGATGAATATTACACTATGACAGAACAACTCAT